TCTAATGAACAATCAGAGTTTTAGAGACAAAGTGGAACCAAGTAATAGGACTTACAGATTGCAGGAGAAATGGCTGTGGATTGTTAGGACAACATGCCTAGATTGCTATCCAAGGTGCTGAATTGATTTGTCTAGTTACTGGAAACCTGCTTTTATTGCCCTTTTGCCTTTGCCTCAAGCTCAGTTCTCTGAAGCAGCCTTGTCCCAGACCAAGCTAGACTTCATCTGATAGCATGCCTGCCCTTGCCAGGACTAACTGACTCTGACTTCTAATCAAGACAACAGCCTGATTTCTCAGCTGGACTCCTGGCATATCAGCTACAAGCTGCAAGCTGTGTCCACAGAGGTTAAAAATACCCTGGCAGGTAAGTATTTCCTCCAGGAATAAAGTTGACCAGCCAAGGGAGTAGATACTTTGTTACTGTGGATAGTTTTGAGCTATAGAAATTAATTCTCCCGGTTTCATTTCAGCGCATTCAGGTGTCAGAACCCTGAAGTTTCCCCTTTACAGGCAGCTTCTATTGGCTGCCGGCTTACATTGAGCTTGACCCTATAAGGGACACATTCTCTTCCCTTACGGACTTAACATCTACTGTAAGAAACAAACATATAAAGTGCTGTTCCATGCCCTATATTTAGCATCAAATAAATTAAATGCATTAGAGACCAAGAACAGGAAGGATTAGCATGAATTGGGGTGGTTAGGGAAAGCTTCTGGAAGAGTATGACCCAGGCCTTGATGTCTAGGTAAACTTCAAATAGGCAAGGAAGAAGAGGGGGTGCATTAATGACAATATCATAGGAGTGGAAATGCCCCTGGCACATGAAGGTAGTTAATATTCACCTGGTTCAGCCTAGAGCTCCCTATACTTTTAGCTTCCCCACCCACATTCACATATAACACTATCACCTTTATACCCCTCCCCACAGGGTTTGCATTATTTCTCTTATACCAAAGGAAGGAAAATCATATATATTGACATTCTGAAGAAAATAATTTTACAATTTCTTTCAAGTTCTTTTGATATTTTCTGGAGACAGGCTTTTTCAATGTGGCAGGAGCCTTTTAAAACCACTGGTCCTCAAGTCACAACACTGCAAGAATGGCTAATAAAATGTAACTCCTGACTTGAAACAAAGCCAGTCACGGGGCAAATAGGGACAATTAAAAAAATGAAGAGTAAGTGCAGGCAGAGAGAAGCGACTAGAAATATGCAATTTGTGGAGGAAAACAGGAAGATTTCATATGGAAAAGACTTTCTTAAGTGAGTTTACAAGATCTCTCAACCTAAATGACTCTACAAAAAATTCTGGGATTTATCTAATATCCTACTTACCACAATTTCAAAAGGTATTTTTATGGAATTTGTAACTTGATATGACCAGAGCAGAAAAACTCCCTTCTTTGTAGTCTTTGAGCTGAAGAGATAGAACAGTCAAGACCTCTCTTTATTATTGTATAAAAGGTGTATGAGGGTGTGATAGCAAGGCTTTGTTTGTTTCTTTGTTTTTTGTTTTGTTTTTACTATTAGAGACCAGGATTTTGGCATTGGATGGAATAACGTATTAATGAATATGAATAGTACAAGTAAATTGTATAAAAAGTATAAGTACATATTATTTAGTATTATTTAATCACTTAAGTTGTGATGACTAAATATAGTACAGACGTTTCAAGCAGCAAATGCTTGCCTAGAAATTCTATCTACTTAGTGATACCCCGGAGTATGAAGTCAGTGTGAATACAGATTGCATATATTCACTGTTCACCAGGTTTCATGAATGTGGCCAGCTAAACCCCTCATCTCCATCCTTCCAGGGAGCCCTGATTAACAACCAACTTTTTGGCTGGCATGAAGGGTATTCCTCACTAGCTGTATTCCTCTTGATAATCACATGTACACTCATTTTTTCATGTCTCTTGACTTTCAACTCTCATTTAACTAGGGTCTTTCTCTTTCTCTCTTGGTCCCTTCTCTTCTCTGTCCTTCCAGCTTGTGTCCATTTATAATTTATCAATGTGTCAATTTACAGAAAATTTCCCATTCCTACTCATTTCCCTTTGAGTCTCAAATAGATATAATTATTGTATCTTTGTCTTTTGTATAGAGAAGGTCTCTTTTGGGGACTCTGACCCATTGATAGCACACACAATTAGATGTCAGGTGAAAAGCTTAAAATATGCAAGGATACTCTAAAACAGTTTCAATTATTCAATTTTTAAAAGAATTGCCTTAAAGCTTAAGTTGACTGAAAAATGTACATATATAGAATAAGTTAATGGCCGACTTTGTTGCATCCATAAAGGGCTACTACTCTCAAAAGATAGAATGCATGTTCCTTAGCATCCTTGGACAAGTAGGTCTCATGCATCTCTAGATATCAATCATGCCTCTTTTTATTCTATACCTTTTTAAATAATGAAAAATCTTTGCTGAAATTAATAAAATATAGCTGGTACCAAGAGCAGAACATTTTGCGTATTTTATGTTGTATATAAAGAGAGGTGGAAGGCAGATGGTGTGATTTGCTTGTCCCCAGAGCAGGTGTTTAGCAAATATCGATGTTTAGCAAATATCTATGATCATGTGCTCATCACCCACTCAGCACTGAACATCATATAAAATAGAGGTATATTTTTAAATATATGTACCAAACTTTAATTTTCATTTCACACTCAAAACTTCTGTACAAAAAGAGGCAAAGCAGGCAAAAAAAATACAATGACTTTAGCAAACAACATATGACAACTTTAAAACAGCTTTGTGTATGCAACAGCTTTTATAGATGTAATGGGGAAGTTAGGTTCCAAAATGTCTTTAAGATAAAATTCCACTGTTTATTATTAATGTCTAGAAAAATTTGTAGCTGTTTGGATACAAGACTGCATGAGAATTCTCCAAATTCTACTTGTACAATTGGATTCCAAGATTGGATAGACTTCGTTTTTCTTTTGAGGAAGCATGATTATTACTTTTTTGTAACTTCAATGTGATGATGTATCAAAAACCTCAGTTTACCATTAATGTCTTGATATAATGATGACGACTAGAAGCAAATGATGAAGCATGAGATTAACTAACAATTAAGAGATTACTATCAAGACTTTCTTTCTGGTTGTTAATAAATACTCCAGCCCTAATGGGCTACCACAATTCAAAAAACTCACTGCCACTTGCTTTCATTAGTAGCTCTAAGTGATGCATGAAAAACTTCTGAGAACAAAGTCATGATGCCAAAATAGCAGCGCATCTGAGAAATGTAATTTTCACCTGTTGTCTGCCCCAAAATAAATATCTGAGTAATGGAAAACAGTTTATTTGAAAACTATGAAACATCAAATATGAAATATAGTTAACATCGACATGGATACTGTGGCTAACACTTTCCCCTAAACCACCCACGGGTTTTAAACACATGTGCATGCAGCACACACAGGAAAAGAAAACATGATTTTTCATGGACTCCTGACGCCTGGAGGACAGTCTGTTAAAAGAATTTGTCTCCCACAGTAGCTCAGCAGTGGACCCAATATCCATTACCTGTTAGTGATCACAGACGTTCAATTAACTTGTCCTCCTGATCATCAGAGGCAACTGGGCTTTTGAAAATCCATGGACAGGTGGATATTAGCTTTGAAACAAGGTGGCCTGGCTATATTGGGGCAGGCCAGCAGGCCCTCCTGTATGTTTGATCCCATTTGATAAAAGTCTAATTAAAAATTATAAATGTGCTCAACGATTTCCTCTGCAAGTCCTTTCCTCTCTCCAAGACTTAAACTCCTCACCCAATAAAGGGAACAAATGGACCCAATGATGATAAACATTGAGTGCCTCTATAATTCTTGTCTTGATAGTTGCTGCCCAAAGATGACGTGAGGCTGCCAAATAGAACATTTCTTAAGCTGAACAGTCAAAGAATTTGTTCACCCGTTGTTTACCCCATTTCCTGGCTTCTTCCAAGGTGTTAAAATCCCTAGGTTTGAAAAGGCCATGAAGGCCATCTAAGTGCATTTCTGTCCTGATGAGAGAACCACCCCACCATCCAAGGAGCTGTACTTGTTCAGCTTGAAAAGTTCTAAGGAAAAGGGCCTTTTTCTCTCTCTGTTGACTGACATTTAGATATAAACCAGAGAATCTGTTCTGTCACTTGACTGGATTTTTTGCTGCTGTTGCTGTTAAAAATAAAACAAAACAAAAGTATCTTTCCCCTTTCTTGGAGGACTCGAGAAAGTGCCAGCTGGATACTAAAGTCTGGAAATCAATTGTGTCTGATGGCTCGTTCCTTGGGACATGGTGAATGACACCCTGATGTACCCAGGCCCAACTTCTGGGATTATCAATCACTGGGCAACTCTTTCCTTCTATCAGAAATAGGCAAGTAGTAAAATAAGCCAGACTGAAGATTGACTTAAAAGTGTCCAATCTCATCCCATAGTATGTATGCATAGGCCACATGGTGAAGAGGGAAAGAATCAGGAGTGAGGGATCCTGGGCTCCAGTCCTACAGGGGGGTTGATCCTGTTTGACTTCACCCTCGTCTCTTTCTCCACTGGATGTTGGAACAGGAGATTTTCAAGGTTCCGTTATAAGCTCCGATCTGCAGACAGAATGACTCTAGGCCTGGTCCTATCTTCAAGACAAGGTGGGGTGATGATTCCTGGACTCTATTTCCTAAGGAAGCATGTAAGAGTCAGCCATTTTATTGGCTCGTTGCCTTGTAGGGCTCTTGGAGATCGTCTGTTCTAATTGCCCATTTTATAGATAAAGAAAGTGAGACACAAAGAGCTTAAGTGAATTTCCAAAGACCACATAGTGGATCAATAAGGCTAGGACTGAATCCAGGTACTCAGACCAAAGTTGTACATGTTGCAGCAAGCTAGCCATGTGGTCAGGGAGGAGCTACCTTTTAAATACTAGGGAACTAGAAAATGTAGCATTTCCTCCCTCTGGAGTCCCCAGTTTTCTGGAAATTAGTTAAGTACCCGAGACCTCTGTCACCACATGATCAGCCCACAAAGGGCAGGGCCCATTTCGGGAGGGCAGCTGGGCACCCAGTACCCCACAGATACCTGGAATGTCAGTAAAATTACCCAAAGGCAGAGGGTTGAAGTGGAGAGAGGACTGTTCTGTTGCCTGTGTGTCCTTCCTCCCAGCCTGTCCCCCACTTCCAAGACAACCACCTTCACAGCTCAGCTATGACAGCACATCTATCTATTCTCACTTCTTTCTTACAAATGGATTCAAGCGCAGGTGATTTTCCTCTTGCAGAATCAAAAGGGAACGTTAGAGGAATATAAATCCAGAGAAAAGGGGAATATGTCGCTAAATAAAATAACGTGCAAACAAAAAAGCTGCACATGTGGTTTGCAGTCTGAGGGAAGAGAGGTGGGGGGCGTGCTGAATTCCAAACACTTGAGTTTGTGTCTTCACATGCATTTTTCTTTTCTTGGATTCCTCTCTCCCTCTGTCAGGATAACGGTTGTGTTTCTTGTAGCCAAGCCGACACAGGAAATCAAATACTTCGTGTTTCTATAAGTAAACTTCCCAGAGAGATTACACATCTAGAATTAAAACACTACCACAAACTATTGGGAATTTTGGATTGTTACAGGTGTAGTTAAAGGACTCCAGTAGTAAAGACCAACATCTCCAAATTTTGGCTTTGGAGAAGAGGGTTTTGTTTTAGACATCAAAGGTTAGGCTCTCAAGTCAATTTATGCTCTGCTGGGTCGAGTCAGTCAAGATACAAATTAAAGTCCATATATTTCAGTGACAAGAAGGAAACGGTTATGTAAATACACAAGTATTAACATCAATCTGTATTAAATTATGTAAACATATACATCTTCTGAGGTCAGTACATAGATCCTCTTCTTTGAGCAGAGCTCTACTGAAGCATTGCTCGAATCTGTTTGGAAGTTGATTCATCATTCAAGTGCTTGGTAGTGAACCTGGTTGGAGAGAAAGCAACGGGAGTCAGTGTGTAAACAGTGCTCTGCCAAAGCTTCATGATGACTCTCAGCCCATCTTTACCTTGAGAGACACAATGGCTATTTAGAAATCAAACTCGGGCTCATTCCTTACACAAATAACCGCACTTTGATCCCCAGTGTAGTCTCAGATGGATTTAGTATTTGATTCTTTTTCCTAAAGGAATTTTGTAGTGTGGTTATTCAACAAGTAGACCTTTTATCTAATCAAATAAATATACAGAGGAGATAGAAGCCATCACATTTTCTGGGAAGGTCGACTTCACATGAAGGAGTGCAGCATCTCAACCATCTAGGCTCCCCCTACTGAGTTACAAATTTCAGAATGTGGATCTGCATCCCAACATTCCCCCAAAACTTCAACGCTGATGCTTTTCTACTTTCCTGGGAAGGCTTATGCTCATTGCCACCACAAGGGGGCACAAATGCAGGTTAAACAAACCAAATAAGGAGCAGCCCAGTCTGCATCCTCACATTAACCTGGCGCAGGCACGGTGTATGAAAAGGAAGGAAAGGGGAATTATCATGTCATCAAACCTTGCCAGGTCCTGGACACTCGTGTAAGTCCTCATTTCACCTACACTAACTCTTTGCGGAAGAGGTTCCCGCCTCCATTTTACAGGTGAGAAAACTGAGAATCAGAGAGGTGAAATGACCTATTTCAGACCACAAATCTGCCAATGTGTGTGATTCGTGAGGGATCTGTGGCTTCTGATTTGGACCCAAGTCTGTCTGCCTCAAAAGCCATTCACCACAATACCTACAAGAAACCACAGATGCCAACACTCAGATGGGACTCACTGCTCAGCCCAGTGCCCTGCTCTTCACGAAGCCTTGCTCGATTAAATGAGGCTGGAAAGTTAAAAAAAAAATTCAGACACCAGAGTCTTACTGCGTATGGGAAGCCAGCCTGCTGGGAAATGGGCACCAATGGAGAAAAGCTTGGTTCACACACGGAATCTGGAAGGCTACTCTGTTAATGCTACATCTGTTCTGAAGAATGATGACCTAGCAGCTCCACAAAACAGCATCAACCTCAGTTTTATTCGTTAAATGTGTGGCTGTTTCTTCATTTATTAAATGGGGTTAATAGATCACCTTCCGTCTCTTGAGTTGTGATAATTAAATGAGACAACATACTTGGGAGTGGAGTGTAAGACATGAGCATTGTACACAGATAGAAGATTATTGATCCAGTCCACTTACACTTATTGAACACTTACTGCACGCACAACAGTGAGTGGGACTTGGGAAAATCAAAGATGAATAAGAGAACGAGGACCATAAACCTTCCAGATTGCAATCCAGCAGTGGAATGATTTACGTGGTAGTATGATTTAACAAATTCCTGTACATGTGTCATGGCTGAAAAATAAGATTCCCTTCTCTGGAGTGTATTAAGCACGTGTATCCTTGGAAGAGAGGCTGCTTGGGCATCAGCTGTTAGTGGTGAGAAGCTGAAATGAGCCATAGTTGCCAAATACTTGGGCATCCAGGCAGGGTAGAGCAGGTCACCCAGGGAGCTTTAGAACAAAGACAGAGTGGATACCTGTGTCCCCACCCTGGAGACTCTAATGCATTCGGTTGGGTTGGAACCTGAGCATCAGGGTTTTCTAAAGCCACCCACAATTTTCACGTACAGCAGGTGAAAGGGCAAGTGAGACTCAGGAAGCTTCTTCTTCTGATGAGTCTCCACTAACCACAAGGCAGCACAGCCTGGAGTCAGGCCCACGGCATGTGTGGTCACCCAGACCCAGGGGTATGTTCTAGCTCTGTCGTGTGCTGTGTGATGTTGGGCAAGTTGTTTCATTTCCCTACATCTCAGTTTCTTCCATCTGATAAAAATGGTGCTGACTTCAACTGATTGTTGGCAGGATTAAATGTGTGAAGACATGCACGGGGTTAAGCCTGATGCTCTAGAGCCTGGTCCCCAACAGCATCTAAGTTTGAAGTCTCTCTGAAGTGTCGCGGGGCTGAGGCTTACCTGAGGGCATTCAGTAGCCCCTCCACACTGTCCGGGGCCTGTTCCTTCAAAACCTTTATGCAGCCTTTCATCTGGGAGGAGAAAGCACAACATTTTGTTAATAGCCTAGCAACTGTGTCCATGACAGTATACGTTCATACTACCATCGGTCCCTAATCAGATTGCATTATTTCTGTCCAGAGAAATCAAATACAGAAATGACCAACAGACCTTCTTACTCCTTCATGTTAGTGAGTTGCTCTTTGGGGCGCTTCTAGAAGTTGTGTATCACTTTTCATACTCTACTGCCATTAAACATTTCATGTGTCTGCCATGTGGGGCCAAAGACTTGAGACTGTGATCTTGTCTTGTGCTCCAGAGCCAAGCGTAGGGCTCCCCACACCCCCCCACCCCCAGTAGCTGCTCAGTGGACACTGACTGCATGAATTACAAACCCAATGATTTTATGCCATCCCTCTTTCCAGGATGCTATTCCTCCTTTAGCTGTTTGACTGGCTTTTTTTTTTTTTTTAGGACACAGCTAAAGATCACCAAAACCAGGAGGCCTCTGCGCACCTCATTACCTTCATCAGGTAGAAGTAACCACCACCTCTTTGTGCTTCTAATAGCATGCTGGCATTTGTCAGAAGATCTTGGAGATCTTGGAGATTTTAGTGCCTGAATTATCTTGGCTCCCTCACTAGGAGGGGACTGGTGAAGGACAGAGGTGAAGAATATGAACCACTGGGGCACCTGAGTGGCTCAGTCTTAAGTGTCTGCCTTCAGCTCAGGGTCATGATCCCAGGGTCCTGGGATCAAGCCCCGCATCGGGCTCCCTGCTCAGCGGGAAGCCTTCTCCCTCTCTCACTCTGCTTCTCCCACTCCCCCTGCTTGTGTTCCCTCTCTCGCTGTATCTCTCTCTGTCAAATAAATAAATAAAATCTTTTAAAAAAAAGAAGAATATGAACCACTTGGGGGTAGACAGCTTTGGTTTCCTCCATCCTTGCTTATGTACCTGGATGAACCTGGGCAAATTTCTTAGTTTTTTGTACCCTTGGAATATAATTTATTCATAATTTGGGAAGTCCATGAAAACTAGGTTTACATAGATCACATTATATTATGCATATCCTAGAATTTTTTTTTTGACAAAGAAGTATCTTCCTGCAAAAAATACAATCGCTCATTTTAAACTCAGATGTTCATACTATCTATTGAATTTGAATAGACCAAGGACCTCTTTTATCATGGTCTCTTTCAAATATTTTCTGTGGGTATACTTCTGGTGTGTAGGAAGTTTTATCTTATGGCCTGATAACCCTGGTAGATTGATGGAGGTGACCAGAAGCACAGGGTTGAGAGTCATTTGAGGATCACATTATAGGCTCGTCAAGAAAGAAGGTCATCGTCCATCAGAGGTGTCTGTCATGGGTGCAGGACAGGCAGAGCCTAAAACATGCCAGGTGTGTGCCATGCTGAGCCTGCTCACGTCCAAGAATGGGCTCCAGCCCAGGGATGTAGAGATTTGGTCCCTTTCCCAGTGGAGTTCATGGTCTAGTGGTAGAAGAGACCCCCAAGTTTCTCTGATAAGTGCCTGCATTCTATCAGGAACACAGAGAGCCAGGCTTTCTGGCACCCAAGAATGGCATCTCTTCTCTCAGTGGCCCAACCCTTCTGGGCCTCAGTGATGGGGCTCTGACAATTCACTGCTCCAGGAGCCCTCTCCCTCCCCTCTGTCCACTTGGGAAAATCCTAGCCCTTCTCCAAGGTCCACCTCCAACATCACCCTCTGTCTCTTCTCAAAGCAGAATAAGCTTCTCCCTCATCTGGGTTTCTAGGGTGTGTTCTCTGTAAGTGCATATTATGAATGACATGCATCTCAGGGCTTCACAAATAAATATTTGTTTTTTCACAGCTGATGATTCTTTTTTTTTTATTTTTTTTTACAGCTGATGATCCTTAAAGGATATATAAACCCAGTGCTGGCTTAGAAGCAGACTGGTATCTGAAGGCGCCCCTTTATGGTGTCAAAGGAAATGGCCCATCTTGAATATGTGTTGTATTTGGTAAGCCTGAAACTTTCTTAGAGAAACATGCACACTTCAGTATGAACAAGCTTTTCCTAGTGAGATTGAGGAACAAATAGATTTCATGAAGACTACGAGTGGTTAGATTTAACATTATATAATGATTATGACCTCAACAGAAAGACTCAGTAAATGACCAGCAAGGACAAGCTTTTACAATGTTAGGGATACAAGCCATAGTTGTCCCCAGTATATTTTTAATTGTTGACTCTGTAACAAGTTAACAAGTGGCTCTGGTCAATGAGAATGTCCTGTGGGCACCAAACAATAAACTCAATCCACATTCAAATGATGTTCATGGAGTTATTAATAGAGTTATTTATATTTGATCCATAGTATAAGAATGTTAAAGACTCACAAAGAATATAGTAAAAATGTTCATTGGTACCAAAATAATTTCATGATATACTGTGATGCAAATAAAATACAATTATAGCAGGGTGCTGATCTGTTATGTACACACACACATGCATATACACAAACATACATATAAAAGGAAGGGAGTTAGATATGCAGCCATATTGACCATGGTCATCGCCTATGGTAAGGTTACTATAGAAAGATACATTCAATTTTCTGTATTTTGACTTCTTATGTTTTCCTAATTCTTTTATACTAAATACTTTTTTTCTTGGTAGACAGAAAATAACAAAATCATACTAAAAAATAAAAAATAATAATAAAGGCTCTATGAAGAACCATGCCTAGCTGTGCTAGGAAGCCAGACCTTCAAAAATAAATAATCTAATTCCACTTTAATTGATAAATTTCCTTAACGCTCTTCAGACTCATGGTCCCTCTGGGCATGAAGACTTTCTGTCTGCACAGTACTAAAGTATCAGAGAGGCTTTTCTGTGCAGATGAATGAGAACAGGATGTGTCCCGCAAATTTAGCACAGTCAGAATGAGTTAATCCCAAAGGGGCCTATTGTGCTCTTAAAAGGCTTTATATATATATATATATATATTTAAAGATGCTTGAATTTTATTTTATTTTATTTTTTTAAAGATTTATTTATTTATTTTGAGAGAGTGAGAATGAGAGAGAGAGAGAGCACATGAGAGGGGGGAGGGTTAGAGGGAGAAGCAGGCTCCTCGCTGAGCAGGGAGCCCGATGCGGGACTCGATCCCGGGACTCCAGGATCATGACCTGAGCCAAAGGCAGTCGCTTAACCAACTGAGCCACCCAGGAGCCCAAAAGGCTTTATATTAACACACAGGATACACTATGGGGATGATGCTGCAGATGAGGACTAAGAGGAGATGTCTTTTATGCTACAATCAACAGAAGTCACTTGCACACCAAAATCATGAGTTTTCCATTTATATTCATTCATTCGGCAAAAACACTATGGAGTACCTATTGAGCATCATGCTCTATGTCGTGTATGGTGTTAGGCGGTAGAGCAGATGTTGGGTATACAGATCATAGTCTCTGCCCTTACAAACAAACTTGGAGTCTGTGAGGCAATCAGAAAATCCAAAATGGTAAGTGCTCTGGGAGCCAGCAGAGAAGTGAGGTCCTGACCATGCAGGGTACAGGAGATGTGTTCCTGAATGAGGTGACATTTGTGGAATGGTTTAAAGGAATCCACCCATCAGAAAGAAGGGAGGGTCCTCTGGGCAGGGAATGGGGCTCAAGCATATCCCAGTGACATCAGGTGGAGCCACCAGTGGGGGCTGGTAGGAGAGGAAGTTGGAATATTGTTTGAAATTTGACCATGGTGTCTTGTAATCCAGTATCTCCCAATGCTGTTTACTTTAAGACATATATGACATATTAATATCTATATATTCACATGGCACATTGGGTACCTAAACTGAAGGGGCAGTTTGCAACTAAGTGACTATTCACATCTGCTCAGCTTCTCTGCAGGCTGAGATTAGTGTCTCTGAGCTCCTGCTATGGTTTTTGATTGAATGTTTTGCTTGTAAGCACATGAAAAAGATTGGACTTCTTGGTATGGGGAGGGGGTTTGCATCTTGGAGAGATCCCCACCTCCAAGTAGTGGAGGGAGGAAAGAGAGAGCGAGAGAGCGATAGAGACAGAGATAATCAAGGTCTGTCTGGCACCATTCATGAGAGCTCTTATTTGGAAAGCAGAGTTCATCACTAATCTTACATCAATCTTGGATGTCTTGCAGAACGCTCCCACGGGGTGAACGTGGTCATAGAGAATGATGACCCCCACCATCACCCTCATGCAGAACATCAGCGTTTCTTCACTTGTGAACCTACTCCTGTACTCCCTGGAAGAGAGAAGAAATGGCAGCCACGTTAACTTCCTTGCTGGAGCAGATCCATTTCTGGCCACTTTAGACTCCTCCAATCATCTCCTGAGAACAATCCTGGACCTGCAACAACCAGGGTAATATGCTCTTAAGGAAGCCCATGATGATAATTCTCCTTGAATCTATCCAACGAGCAATTCAGTGTGAAAATAAGGTAGATTAGAGGGCAGTAAATTCTCTTCTCTTCTGCCCTTCAGCGGGCCAGCTCGTCATGTACATCCATCCCCCCACCCATCAATCTTGAATATTTTATAGCAGGTCCCTCTGGCTGTCCAAGATTATAGAGAATAATGGCTTCATTATGGAGAAAAAGAATCAGGCTCATTTCTACAGAGCGGCTATCATGTCTCCAGTCAGAGTAACTTCCTTTGTTAAGACACAGGCTGCAGATTGAATTGGATTGGCAAAGATACGTAAAAGAAATTATGTGCCATTCACTGGGGCTGGGAGTATTTGTGGAGTTTGAATTTTGTTCACTTACCTTGACAGGGTCCCTGATGATTCAGATAATTCAAGATAATTCTAGAGGCTTTCTTAACACCTATTTCATTATGAATTGGGCCCACAATGAAGACCATTACTATTTCTGTCTTGGAATAAATCTTAACTTTGGTATAAGTGAAATATTTGAAATTAACACCATCTTACATTTGAACAGAGGATCACATTTCATACGGCTCTTTTGAGGTCTCTAGCCCTCCCAAGCCCTCTGCCGCATAGATGGCATTATGGGAACCTCATAGGAGAAGGAAACAAGGCCTTGCAGGCCATACCACCTGTCTACATGCACAAAAGTAGCTAAAGAGATGACTGGAACCCTGGCTTGTGGGTGTGGACTTCCTCATTACCACGCTGCCTCTCCATTAACAACCTTTGACACTTCTAACAATCCAGCAACTAGTTTAAGTACAAAGAAACTATTGTGACAGGCAGAGTCAGAAGGGAAGGGTAGGGAAGGGAGAAAAAGAGAAGGGAAGAGGGACAGAAGTCTGATACTCCATTATCATTCTTGCAACAATATTACCCCTTCTGCTCTTCGTTCTAAATCTTCTGCCAGATCTCTTCTCCAATATACTTATAATAATAATAATAATAATAATACCCAGTCATTTATCCAGCCTTCCATTTGGCCCTTCCCCATCTTCTACAGCATCTTTGGTTTGAGTCCTGGTTTTGCCGTCTAACAAACTACTCAACCTTTGGGAAGTCAGTTAACCAGTTTGAACCTCAGTTTCTTCAACTATACAAGGGGGCTGATTACGTTTATCACCCAGAGTTCTTTATACAACTAATTCAGATAATATACCTGTAAATGTCAATGTGCTGACCCAAATGTTACCACCACCACCACCACCACCATCATCATCAATATCATCATCATCATCAACAACACCATATTAACAAGTTCTCTCCACGTGACCTCTAGACCATGAATCTGCCTCTGATCTCACTTACGGTGTTTCCAGCATGACTTTACAAACACTCGTCATCGTACTGAGGCAGTCTGTCGTGTTCTCTATTGGCAGGGTTTTGTTCTAAATGGAAGACACGAAAGTATATTAGCCCTTCTAGCAGCTTTTCTGTGCAGTTAAGAAAAAAAGCACCTCAGTGCTCAGCCTCACTTACTTCGGAGACAAAGTGCATGGTGGCATTGCTAAGGGTTTTCAGCATTGGCGTGGCTTCTGCATAGAAGAGGGACATTCGATTGGCCATCTCATTATTGACTTCATTCTCAATGTCTAGCTGATGAAAATAAGAAGAGAAGACACAATTGATAAAGACAGGGTCAAAAATCCCCAAAGAGTGTCTGCTGGAAATAGAATCACAGATGAAGGCTGTCTTTTCCCCGGGCCCTGCCTGATGCAGCAGTCAAAGGATGACGTGGAGAATGGGTGTACAGACCAGGAGACTCAGGGGCTCACATGCATGTTGTTGATGCGGTTGCGACTTATCGTCCTTCTGTAGTAGCTGAAGTCGTTCTGAATAGCTGGGTTCCTCATCTGAAATTCAGAAGAGAAGAAAGAAGGTCATCGCTCCCCATCACAGAGAGGATATGTATTAGGAGCCCAAACTCTAGACTCGGTAAATATACCAGGACATCTCTTGGTGATATAATAATCAAAGTAACTTCTGGCTAAAAATAAATACTCAGAGCCTCATTGTTTTAATATAGGCCCTGCTTTTCCTATCAGCCAGATTGCAGGGAAAGAATACTTGTTCTCAACCAGGACAGATACTTTGAAAAGGTTTCCTCTTCTCGAATTTGGCAGATTTTGAATTTCCATGCACAAACCGCCATCCTACATCACGTTGACTATAAGGAATGCAAATTCTCACCACATTTTATGTCTCTGTAGGGAACGAGCTACATCTTACTCATCTATTCCCCGCCCCACAGCATTAGCAGAGTGCTGGCACACAGTAGGTCCTCAGGACATGTCTGTTAAACTGTCTTATCGTGTGTGGTCTAACCTTCAGCTCATCAAATCGCAGGGTAAAATGGAGAATTTCCGCGAACTCCTTTGCCAGGGCCTGCTCCCGTTCCAGGTGCTGGGTTGGCGTGTAGGGTGGACAGGTCAGAGACTCTAATAAACTCTGAAGAGCTTTCTCTGAAAGTCAAAGTGATAAATATATATCTGAGGTTGCCCACAGAGATCATTCTAAAAGCACAGTTCTTAGGCCCCGTTGACATTCTCAGAGATAACTTGTTTGAGTCTTTCTTCTCCATGTCTTTTCCCATAGTCATGTACAGTGCGACATGTGCGGGAAGGAGAAGGAGCCCATCAGGCCCGAGCAGGCTGCCCCCCCCCCACCTGTGGAAGACCCCCAGGGCCACAGTTTTGCCCATGTCTCTCAGAGCTCAGCTCAACTCTTAGTGTTCCACAGTGCCAACTCCGACCACTGTTTGGAAACCAGACACAAGTTTTTGGATCCTGTCCATGAGACTGTGTGGTACTTTTCTGCCAACCCACTGCCATATCGACCACCATTACTCTCCTTGAAACAGTCTCATTACTCCTTCTTGTCCATCCCTAAACATCCCCTCCCGTTTTCCCTTCAACATATTTCTAACAATACTGACTCATTTAACCAATCCTCTACAGCGGGGTTAGCCAACGATGGCACAAAGGCCAAACCTGGCCCACGGTCAATTTTTACAAATAAAGTTTTATTAACACATAGCACAGCCCCACTTTATTTCCATTCCTTAATGTATTGACTATGGCTACTAATGTGCTACAATGGCAGCGTTGGGTGGCTGCAACAAAGACAGGGTGGCCCCCAAGCCTAAAATATTTATCTGCTCTTTACAGACAAGTGTGCTATGCACCTGATCTACAGTCCTTAATTGTCTTTTATAGCATCTTTACAAGGACATCTCTTGCCTTTTCCATTTATGGGGGATGTACTGCCTTCTGAGGTAGCCAGTTCTACCTTGGTCTGCTCTGACAGGTGGATCTTTGTCCTTCTGTTAAAAATCTGACTCATTAGGATTTCAGTTCACTGGGTCTAGATTTACACTTTGAAGAAACTGAGAAGGAGGAAATAGGGAGAAGCTAACCGAGAGTCTCCAGAAGCTCTCTTTTCTTGAAAGACTATTTTAGTTCATTCAACCATTCCCTTTGGGTCTTAGCTTCAAGTTCTCTCTCCACCATAACTATTATTCCCCTAAAGTATTTCAATTTCTCTGTTTAACTCTTAAAATGTGACATTCGTTTACAGCAAAAGTAAACATGACTATCCCTTTCCTCGTTCTAGCTGTATTAACTAATGAAACCTCAGACAGCTTTACTCTTGGGGGAGTGGTTAGATCATATAGGTGGTCACATCGAGCCAATTGTTAACCAGACTTGACTTTACTCTTGCCTCTGCAAAGCCATCCCGTACCCGTACAGGTTGTTTTTAAAGCTTAAGGGCAGAATATTGTTTGTTTTTCCCATATTTTACTATATTAAATTTATCACATGACTCCAGCAAATCAAGATTTTGGGGTTAGCAGGTAACCTGTTCATTTCAACTTCTCTGTCATTTAGAATTGTGATCAGCCCACAACAAAACTATTAGCTGAGAACAAGACCACAGTACATCCACCAGTAGAGACATGCTCAATGTGCAGGTAACTGCAGGGCAGGGAACTCTGAGATGAATTTAAAGAAATGAAAATGACAGGTGTTTCTGTCCACGAATGGCCTCTCCTAAAACACTGCAGATGGATGTGGGCCATTCCCCAAAGCACTGAGCTAGCCCTTTCTGCTCCTTAAGCAAACTCTGTAACAGAACTTCATACACGGGATGAAAACTATAAACACGTACTCACCTAGCCTTATGGAAAATTCATAAAATCTCTTTAGCCTCACAACCAGAGGACATACTGCATTCCAAGCTTTTTCTTGAAGCTGAATGTCGTTGGGATTCTGAATCGCCTACAAAAACAAGATAAAATTGTCTTTAAAAAGAAGCAATAAGCTCCACATCAAAATGCCTTAAGATTGAGAAGGGATTTTAGTTTAAGAAAATACAGTGCCTGATAGACTTCCCTAATGTGCTCGTAAACTGACATCAGTTCACCGGACTGTCCTCCAAGACGCTCAATTAGAATGGAGATTTTAGCCCTTGAACATAATGTAAATGACCCTACAATTAGATCCTGTGTCATCTTGTTTCTCTTATTTTAAGTGCAAAAAATTGCAAATCTAATTGGAAGCCATTCAGCCTTCCTCCACCACATTTTGATTCTACTAAAGTAGAGCCCGAGCTCATTAGGAAGTGCGGATCCCGTAGACATCTTCCTTTCTCTATAATACGTATTACGTGCCTTCCGTTCTGTGACCTAAATTATCTAAATCAATGGTGATCCCTAAGTAGAAAGACCACCTCTTAAGAGGCTGTCACATTCTTGGCAATGTTGTTTTGTCTGGGTTTCAGCAGCTTACAGATTATATTAGTGGGTTTTCTTCCAGAAAGATGGCGACAGTGGCAGTGGGGTGTGCCTGTAAGTGTGTATAGATGTGCACATGTGTGTATGTGTTGATACTTCCACAAAACTAATTATTTCAAAAAAAGGTGTGTGAAGTTTCTTGCCTTTAAGGCATTATTAAGTCTTAAAAGCCACGCTGACAATCTTCTTTTTTGTTTTGTTTTTCAGGGATTTCTTTTTTTAAGCTCAAAGTCATTTCAAGATGGCAGACCTGCAGGCTACTTAAAGCAACCTAGTTTATGGCTGGTCTTTGTGATACTGTGGGACCTGCCAAGATTATTACAAAATGCTGAGAAATTCATGCAAACCCAGACCTCATGATTTACAGTTTTGTTTTTTTTTTCTTTTCTCATGACTTATATTTCAACTGTTGTCCTAGACTTTATATGTATGTTTCCCTTACATGAAGTAATATGCTGCAGAATCACTGTTTGAACGTCAGTCCTGTGCTATCAAATGTATGATTGAGAAGAGAATGGCTAATGTTTTACACAGTCTACAGCACCGTGTGCTCAGATTAATGTACTAGAATAAAAGGGGCCATTCATACTTCGTGAAAACCACATTACCCTCCTTGTTCTTCCTAGTACACAAGGAAATACTAGGGCTATTACTTAATCTTGCTGGGTGTGTGTGCATGTGTGGGTTTCCCTTCTCGTCCGAGGGTGTTGTCAGTTCAGTGTTATCACTGGCATACATCTCGGATCTCTGGCCCCGCGCCCTTGTAAGCCTGCAGGTCTGCAAGGATGCTCTCAGAATCCTGGAGGACGGCACTGATCTGGTTCCATATTTCCCTCTCTCCTTCTGTGGGCTGGGCGTCTGAGCAGAAGGGAAACAAAAAGACACAGAGGGATGATGTTTACAAATGTCTTGGAAAGAAGATCAGCATTCAGTTCTACCTGCTAGACAGTCCTGTTTAATTCCTGCAGGTTTGGTCTTTACTCTTTTTTTTTTTTTTTTTTTTTTTTATAAGCTGCTAGGAAAGGAACCTGAGACAACTTCTGTCCACGACTCAGTTCAAGCCAGTCATCCGTCTGCACACGTTACACCAAGCACGTTGGAATCACTGAGGGCACTTTACTCATTCATGTAGGACATACTTTTTGCACACCTATTATGTGCCAAGTGATTAAGTGGGTGATAGAAGGAATAAATATTGTCTTTGTGGGGCCATGTTTAATAGGAGAAGCTACTGAATAGTTCTGTTATGACTAAAAATCTGTGAATCTGAGTATAGGTGGGAAAAACAGTCCCCCTTATATTACCATAGAAACAAATAAGCTTAAAATATTAGATAATCCTGCAGAGCCATGACAGAGATGTATCTTTCTGGAACACAAAGACACGGAGAAAGCATTGAGATTGATCACTGAATGTGAACTAAAGAAGTACAGGACGTTCATTTTATTTATTTGTTTATTTGTTTGTCTATTTATTTATTTATTTTTAGTAAGCTCTACACCCAATGTGGGGGCTTGAACTGATGACCCCAAGATCAGGACTTGCATGTTCTACTGACTGAGACAGCCAGGCACCCCCAACAGGAGGTTCATTTTAAAGACCCTTGTACTGTTCAACACTGATCTTGACTATAAACACTACCCACAAGAATAAGTGACACACTCAGGTTTACATAAATAAAGAACATATTCTAACAGCCACAGAAGCATTTCCTTAGCTCTTAATTCCCACTTTCACACTGCATTCCTGTAGCCAATATATATTCTTGTCCCCACGAGTATTTTGTGGAAGTTGGTGGGTGGAAGTCAAATGGTGGTAAAGATTAGGTTTTATCTCCCAATACCTATAAGATAGGTTACATGCCTGGGCTAATAAGGAAATTAATCTCCATCCCAAACAAAGGCATTGCTAATGGAAAAGGGGGATAGATGTCATCTCCTAAAAATTCATTTTCAAAAATCCAAGTCCTAAGGTAGTGAATTCTCTAGGCAGACCCCACTCATGGAAAGGTAGGATAGAGTTATGTCGGGTATAACACTCGTGAGTGCATCAGGAGGAACATGACAGAGACCTACTAGGTCACAGTACAGAACCTAGCCTGGGAAGCTAGATTACGCCTTTATCTTTTTCTACTCTCCCACTCTTTCTGGAAAATTCTCAGGTACAGTGTTATGCATGATATTAATGACTTCACAGCCTATCCTTTCCTGTCTCTCAAACTTCTCTCAAAGTGATATGGGTGTCTTAAACAGAAACCTTTAAAACCTCATAAGTTAGGAAGCCTGTAACTGAGGAGAGTATTTCAGGGAACAGAATTTCAGGGCAATTTCTGAGTAAGAAGAAAGTCCGGGAAGAGAACGTGTGACAAAAATGCAACACGAAGGTCCTAGAAAACAAAGAAAAAGAAAAAGCTCATTCCCTCAAATCCTTTCCCTCCTTTGACGAATGCGCTGAAAAATCAGAAGCTAAAAAAGGCCATTTCCTAGAGAGAGAGATATTTGAAGAGGAAGAAAAGAAAAATAGACTGTGACCAGATTCTGGGGGGGGCATGGAGGTAAGCTTCTTCAAGTGTAATTATAAAGTAGTATGTAAAGAAGACACTTGGAGACCAGGAAAGGGAGGGAGCCTTCTGATCGTGGCTGTCACAGTGGCTCCATCTGAGTGAGTTGCCACTTGAAGTTTTAGACAAAACAGAATTAAAATGAAGTGGCTAGAAGATGAGGACCAGACAAACACAAAAACCCATTCTTCTAGTGATTAACACAAAAGAAGAAAACTTTCAGTTTTTAAAAATGGAAGCCCTTTCTTAAGTGCTTCAAAAAGAAGATCATCTCCAAGAGAGCGGCCTAAAAGCGGTACCGGCCATAGACGGACAAGCTTTGCTCTCTATCCCAGGCGAGCTGACACTTTCTGATACGACTCAACCCCAACACTGATGTGACCACAAAGAGCTGGATGAGTGACATGGGGTGGTGTCACATCTCTCTGAGGGGTGGCAGAGTTGGGGCTGTGGAGAAGCCCTTCTGTCTTACAGGAACCCTCGCACAGCACTGCAGTGATCTGTGAAACAGGACCCCCAGTCCCAGCCTTCCTCACGGGGAAAATGTTTCTCTTGGCAGATGTCCTGGTGTCTTATTAAAAACGTTTTTCAGGGGCGCCTGGGTGGCTCAGTCGTTGAGCGTCTGCCTTCGGCTCAGGTCATGGTCCCAGGGTCCTGGGATCGAGCCCCGCATCGGGCTCCCCGCTCCGCGGGAAGCCTGCTTCTCCCTCTCCCACTCCCCCTGCTTGTGTTCCCTCTCTCGCTGTCTCTGTCAAATAAATAAATAAAATCTTTAAAAAAAGAAAAAAAAAAAAAAAAAAAAACGTTTTTCATATGGCCCCATTTAGCAGGGGTGGGATCAGGTCGGAGAAGTCCAATTCATCATTCCTTCTTCATCCCAACTAGAAATGTGTTGGCTCGTTTTCTTCCGTAATTTGTTAGTCTTCTTGGATGCCTTATTCTATTTTTTTTCTTCTTCCCCTGTCATGGAACTGAAGTCACTTCTTTTTTTTTTTTTAATAATTTTTTATTGTTATGTTAACCACCATACATTACATCATTAGTTTTTGATGCAGTGTTCCAGGATTCACTGTTTGTGCATAACACCCAGTGCCCCACGCAGAACGTGCCCTCTTTAATACCCATCACCAGGCTAACCCATCCCCCCACCCCCCTCCCCTCTAGAACCCTCAGTTTGTTTTTCAGAGTCCATCGTCTCTCATGGTTCGTCTCCCCCTCCGACTTACTCCCCTTCATTCAAGGAACTGAAGTCACTTCTTCATCCAGCTATCAACTAGGCCCTTGATGGTGGCAGCATGGTCCCTGCCTTCTAGGGACTCAAGTCACATGTGGGGTCAACTTGCAAGGTGGAGAGTGCTGACTGGGGAGAAGCTCTAATCTATCTGTCTGTTCTGTTTTTTTTCAAATAGAAGAAGGACTCTGTAATGCTAATTTGGCATTGGCTCATATCCCTATGGAAGTTCATGATTCATTCTACTTTGATGCCCCAGCCATGTGACCAGACAGCCAAGACTAATTAATGAGAATCTGACCCATTAGGCCATGGGACTCTGGCTTTGTTTCATGTGACCTTAAATCTCCAGGGCCTGGCATGATGCCTGGCACATAGTATATACTCAAGAAAGATTTGCTGAATAAAATACCTGGATGAATGATTTACTTCTCACACTACGTCTTATGATGATTTTTCTGCTTGTCTTTGAATTGGAAGATTTTGGAGACAGAGTCTATATTCTTAACCTCAGTGCCTCCATATGTCCTACCCATTGGAGACACTCAATAAATATGTCATGACTCAATGAACATATGAGGACATTGACCAGATGGTAGAGGATGTGGGTATTGGGAAGCAGTGAAAGAAATGAAGATCCTATTACTTCTGGATCCTCTCCTCTGGCTCTTCTTCCAAATAGTTTCTATACTGTTAACCTCTCTCACTGTTATTGTTTTTATATATGTTATCTACCATCAAATTGGCTATTCATCCTTTCATTAATACTTGTGTTTTTAAATCATCCATTATTCATCTATAGCCTCAATGTCTCTTCAGTATGGTTAACACACTATTAGGATATTTGTTGAGTGAAAAACTGCACCAACTACGTTGACTATCCCAATCCTAAGGCTGTTATCATCTGTTTTCTGGACTATCTCTTCAAGAGGCTTTGGGGTCTTTACTTCTGGTTTTCTCTGTATTCAGATTCAGTTGGTAGCCGTGATGTCAAAGAGAAACATCTTGAAAAATTAGTGATTGAAAAGGTACGCTGATATTTAACTGATCGGCAACCTTCTAAAGCACCTGCTGAGGGAACAGGAACTCGGAATTATGGGTTTTGCTTTTCTACTTTTAACACAAAGATTGACCTTTAGTCAAAGGTACACACACATACATACGCCCACCAATAATATTACTGATGTATTACTGATAGACATGAGGCCTTATTTCAGTTGTAGCCAGTGAATCCCTCGGTGATGTTTCCTCTAAGAATCACATTCTAAAATTCTAATCATTGTCAATGATTTTATCTCCATTGAGAAGAATGGTTACATCAAGCTGGGCTGCTGTTGTCTAACAATGAAGCTGTTAAAACAAAACAAAACAAAACAAAAACAAACAACCCACCCTGTGATTTACACAGGCAATTTAGAAACCAATCCTCCAAGGGGCCGCAGAACAAGCCTATCCAGGGCCATTCCCCAGGCGATGATTTAAAACCCTGTTCTGGACTTGCTGTTGTGCGAAGTATGAAAATGTAAAATGTGCACTGTGACCTTGAATACATTGTCAAGAACTCGCTGAATTCTAAGTGCCTAGAATTTTTTAATGGAAAAATAACCCTCTTATCAATGAAGATAGTGAGGCCGTATTCATTTTGTTTACAGGGGCCCTATTTACCCTCCTTTGGCTCAATTTGCTAGTGACTGTGGATATTAACTGTCAGGATTCTGGTGTCACTGGGGTCAGGTGGAGGCTTTGCTGTGGAGGCCTGTGATGTTTACTGAAAGCAGAATGCCGCGCATTCCACGGGGCGGGCGGATGGAGAGGAAGGTGGCTGAGTGCTTTGTTTGTCAGGAAGGAACATCTTTGGTGAACATACCCCAGGGCACAGGCAGCGGGGCTCAAACCAGAGTAGGGCTGTCAAATCAAAGCGTTCTTATCTTTGTAAATCGGCCAAGGACACACTGTGTCCTCAACAAGAGCCAGGGAACACGCAAACCTTCTCCTCACAACCTATTCAGAACTGTATGGAAAATCTGACAGAGAATCAAACAAATTAACGGAAGATAATGTAAGCAG